GGAGTTTTCCAGCTCGGTCACTGCTGCCCAAGAGCGACCCATCAAACCTGACCAGACACGGCTGGTTCTCTCGTGCAAACACCCACATTCCAAGGCGAGGGGCGAAATTCCCAAACGGGTTGGGAGGTGAATAGTGTGTGGCATTACTCTGACCTTTGCCTAGTACTTATCAGGGTGTCAGAGCCAGCAGCCAGGGCCTAGTGGTATGATTCTCGCTTAGGGTGCGGGAGGACCCAAATTCAGCCCTCGGCACGCCTCATACAAACATTACAAGGCGCGAGGAGTTTTTCAGGCTCAGTCACTGCTCCCCAGAGCTGCAGTAAAACCCGCCCAGACACGGCTGTGTGGTCGAGCTGGTATGGTCTCGCTTAGGGTGCGAGAGGTCCCAGAGTTCAATTCTCGAGCTTTGCAGCCCTCATACAAACACATTACAAGGCGTGGGGAGTTTCCAGCTCAGTCACTGCTGCCCAGAGCGACCCAATAAACCAGCCAAGACATGGCTGTGTGGTCTAGTGGTATGATTCTCGCTTAGGCTGCGAGAGGTCCCGAGTTCAATTTTCGGCACAGCCCTCATACAAACACATTTCAAGGCCAGGGGAGTTTCCAGCTCAGTCACTGCTGCCCAGAGCGACCCAATAAACCCGCCAAGATACGGCTGTGTGGTCTAGTGGTATGATTCTCGCTTAGGGTGCGAGAGGTCCCGAGTTCAATTCTCGGCACAGCCCTCATACAAACACATTACAAGGCGAGGGGAGTTTCCAGCTCAGTCACTGCTGCCCAGAGCGACCCAATAAACCCGCCAAGACATGGCTGTGTGATCTAGTGGTATGATTCTCGCTTAGGGTGTGAGAGGTCCCGAGTTCAATTCTCGGCACAGCCCTCATACAAACACATTTCAAGGCCAGGGGAGTTTCCAGCTCAGTCACTGCTGCCCAGAGCGACCCAATAAACCCGCCAAGACACGGCTGTGTGGTCTAGTGGTATGATTCTCGCTTAGGGTGCGAGAGGACCCAAATTCAGTTCTCGGCACAGCCCTCATACAAACACATTACAAGGCGAGGGGAGTTTTCAGCTCAGTCACTGCTCCCCAGAGCTACCCAGTAAACCCAGCCAGACACGGCTGTGTGGTGAAGTGGTATGATTCTCGCTTAGGGTGCGAGAGGTCCCAAGTTCAATTCTCGGCACAGCCCTCATACAAACACATTACAAGGCGAGGGGAGTTTCCAGCTCAGTCACTGCTGCCCAGAGCGACCCAATAAACCCGCCAAGACATGGCTGAGTGGTCTAGTGGTATGATTCTCGCTTAGGGTGCGAGAGGTCCCGAATTCAATTCTCGGCATAGCCCTCATACAAGCACATTACGAGGCGAGGGGAGTTTTCAGCTCAGTCACTGCTCCCCAGAGCTACCCAGTAAACCCGCACAGACACGGCTGTGTGGTCTAGTGGTATGATTCTCGCTTAGGGTGCGAGAGGTCACGAGTTCAATTCTCGGCACAGCCCTCATACAAACACATTTCAAGGCCAGGGGAGTTTCCAGCTCAGTCACTGCTGCCCAGAGCGACTCAATAAACCCGCCAAGACACGGCTGTGTGGTCTAGTGGTATGATTCTCGCTCAGGGTGCGAGAGGTCCCGAGTTCATTTCTCGGAACAGCGCTCATACAAACACATTACAAGGCGAGGGGAGTTTTCAGCTCAGTCACTGCTCCCCAGAGCTACCCAGTAAACCCGCCCAGACACGGCTGTGTGGTCTAGTGGTATGATTCTCGCTTAGGGTGCGAGAGGTCCCGAGTTCAATTCTCGGCACAGCCCTCATACAAACACATTACAAGGCGTGGGGAGTTTCCAGCTCAGTCACTGCTGCCCAGAGCGACCCAATAAACCCGCCAAGACATGGCTATGTGGTCTAGTGGTATGATTCTCGCTTAAGGTGCGAGAGGTCCCGAGTTCAATTCTCGGCACAGCCCATCATACAAACACAGATTTCGTAGGCCAGGAGTTTCCAGCTCAGTCACTGCTGCCCAGAGCGACTAAATAAACCCGCCAAGACACGGCTGTGTGGTCTAGTGGTATGATTCTCGCTTAGGGTGCGAGAGGTTCCGAGTTCAATTCTCGGCACAGCCCATCATATTAAACACGAGATGTGTACTAGTAGCTGTTCGTTGACCTGCTCTCCCAGAATCGACTAAATATGGTCTTTATTACGTCGGCTGTGTGGTCTAGTGGTATGATTATCGCTTAGGGTGCGAGAGGTCCCGAGTTCAATTCTCGGCACAGCCCTTCATAAGATACACAAGGTGTGTACTAGTAGCTGTTCGTTGACCTGCTCTCCCAGAATCGACTAAATATGATCCTTACTACGTCGGCTGTGTGGTCTAGTGGTATGATTCTCGCTTAGGGTGCGCGAGGGCTGCGCGATATAGTGTGATATTCGCGCCGGAGGCGCGAAAAAAAAATAAAAAAAATAAGTTGAGAAACCAGTTCTTGTTGAAACACTCATCTTATGGGTGATTGAAATAGAGGTTTTCCGTCTCTTCACGGACGAGGAAGGGTTATTTCACGCGGGCTGGGATACACTACGAATCTCGGCCGTTCAAGTTGCTCCACCTCCCAGCCTCTACCGCCTGGCTGGCAGTCGGCATATCATGCTGAGTACTTAGAACTCCTGTATCTATTGATTTGATACTCTCATCTTATCGCGAGGTTCAACACACTGCTTTTCAGAGCAGGAAATCCGTCTTTCTCACCCATGTCATATGTTATGAGTCAGCTCCCAGCTCTGCCACAACTCTTCTGCATTATGGAAGAACTTCAGGGGGCTTCTCCGCACACCGCGGGGCGATTTCCCCGAATGATTGACACTCGGGTCTGTAGCCCGTGGGAAGGAGGCTGTTCAAATGCTTCAACGGTATTCTCAAAGACGTCTAGCTGTCTACAAACAGAGGGCGAGAGGCCCTGAGTTCAATTCTAGGCACAGCCCTTCGTATGATACACAAGGTGTGTACTAGCTGCTTAGCAGCTGCTGCTAGTTTACTAGTAGCTGCTTAGCAGCTGCTGCTAGTTGACATGATGGATTACTGAGAAACAGTATATCCGAAAATTTATGACGAGGCTCGAACCAGAGGCAGCCACGAGACGAGCGCCAAACGGCTACATATCGCTGTCGGGTACGTCGCGGCGAAGGACTTCACAAGCCCAGAGTTTGGTAGCAATCCTACGCAGGAGGATCGGCGTGAGCGAAATTACCAAGCAGAGATTATGCGCGCACAAGAGTTGTGCGCGGGAGTAGGTTGCGCGACGAGGAATGCGGTACTTCAACTGATTCAATGCTAGAGCTAGCAACGAGTGCTAGCAACAGATACAGCCATGAGTTGTAATGGCTGTGATAATGGCGGATGTGAGCTCGACCCAGCCCTCCGCTCCCTGGATGTGGAGGTAGGACGCTGGAGACTGCTGACTCAACCCAGACTGGGTATGGAGTCGGGCAGTCGTCTAATGTCCTACTGAACAGTGGTGGCCACCAACTCTTTGTTGGCAGCGAGTGTAGGCTACTGCCTAGCTGCTGGCTCTGACACTGATACGTACTGAACAGGTCAGAGCAAGGCCACGCACTGTTCACACTCCCAACCTCTGCATCATGGGAATTTCGTCACACCTGTCGTCAATTTCTCCGCGAAACCGCTCACATTGAGGCCTCATAGCGCCAATTCCTCCCCTCCTTCACCGATTGGCCCCGCCTCTACCCCTGTAGCTTAAGGCTCGATTTTCTCCATCGACTTCGACGCAATTAGTGTCTAGACCGTGTGGTGGAGCTTTGCACGACGATCCAGAAGTGGACCTGCACCCAAAATAGTGTTGACAGCAATCCTAAAATACCCCGTACGGCACGCACTTGAAGCCTGCCAAAAACAACGAGACTATCACAGAAATAAGCTAAGCCACATGAAGGAGGCGAGGATCCTGAGGGAACCTTTCATCTCTCGAGAAGATACTTCCACGATTATGTACACTGCGGTCGAGAGAGCCGAACAACCTACAACAGAATACACTGTTTAACGTTGAAAACTCGCTCCCCACCTGCTGGCCCGAGTGACAAGAGGCTCTGCTTGCCGGCTAACTCGGCCCAGTTTTTCGCGGATAAAATGAGTGAAAAGCCCCTGGAAATCAAAAACTTGCACGGCGTAATGCTTTGCCACATCGAAGCGTTTCTGTGGGCCTTCTCGCTCATCATGAATGTTGTCTCTCGACTATATCGAAGTTCCAACTACACACGCCACGAAGCTAGTTGCGCGCACTGCAGCTACTGTATGATGATTACATTATCATCCTTTCCGGAAAATTTTAATTCATCGTCCCCTACGTAGGCTGAAGAGCGAGCGAGTGACAACCAGGGCACGAATGTACAGCAGCCGCCTCCTGTCATCTCCATAATCACCTAGAAGTCAACTTCCCCCTCAATACCCCTCAACCTTACCATGTCCGGCGGGGCAGATAGGCCCGACTTTCAGGCAATTCGGCATTCATTATGGTCTCCTGGTCGCAGGTGTAGCAAAATGAATATCAAGTAGCTGCAAGGATAGGTCAGAGAACTCGGCGGTTGCCGTTTTAACAAAACTTCTATCTCCGTGGGTTCTTATCGGCTCTATTCAAGCCATTTCCCATCCTCACGTATTACCAACGCAACACACACATATCGATGGAAAAAAGTACTACGGAAACTGATCCGGGGTCAACGAAAAAATACGACAAAAAAACTATAGGCTGAAGGAACCCAAATGACGCGGCCTTCCCATATCTGCCGGAGTCATCTCTCCCCCGCTGCTCTGCTCCAACGACCGCATGAACTGATAGAAGGCGAACTCGCTGGCATTGAGCCCATACTTGTAGACGAAGGTGCTGGCGATCCAAGTGGCAACCATGGCCATGATGTAGGCCTCGGGCGTGCGCTCCAGGATCTGATCGAGTCCGCAATGCACCAGCAACAGTCGTGGGACGCAGCGCCTGAGGACGGCTCGGACCATCCAATCGTTTTCTGGGTCTTCCGCCTCCAAGACCTCCATAATATATGCCTTAAGGTGGTTGATCTTTCTGGAGAGCATCGCGCTGGCATCAACCTTCTTAACGAAGTCGGAGCCGTCGACGACCATGACCTCATGATTGGCAGTCCAGATGCCGCTGAACTCCATCCTAGCATTGTGGCGGATGACGGAGATGATCTCCTGCGCATACTGTTCGTAGAACTCGGGAGGTGGGCTGTTAGGGTCCTTCACCGTCAGGTTCTTCTCATGGTCGTCGGGGTCCATACACAGAGCAGCGAACACTTCCAAGCTTGACGAAGTGACCCCTCCCTTGTTAGTAGACGCGTCCTTGAAGAGATGCACACCAGCATCTTCCAGTACACGCCTCGCATCGTCAGTGAAG